GCTTAATTTGGAAAGCAGAAATTGCTGCTAGGTATGGCAGAATCGTTGCTTGTTTCTTTATTGAGCCAAGATGAATTCATGCTCCGATGCATTCATTCAATAATGTTTAACAGGAAACATAAAGAAAATAAAAATTTTCTCATGTCAAATTCACTGCATTATCTAGTTTTCCCTGTATAATATCGTGTATCAACTGTCAAATAGCGAAAATAATTTCTAAGCAATTATTTTCTCTGCGAAGGCTGAACAAAGTTGCCTCTAAAAGAATATCATTCGACTGTACAGACCCAAATCGTAAAGAGCTAAAACAATCGGAACATAAGCATAGATATGGTTAACTAAAGAAATGACCTTAGCGATTGGGGTGCTTTTCATGTGCCTTATAGAGGGACAGATATAATCCTTAAGAAATTGGCGGCCCTTTATTACTTTTGTATCCCTTGTAGCTAGAATCAATATTTTTCCCGGCTCTGACATCCATAAACTCTAGTTAATTAAGCTACATGCTGTTTCTCTGTGTCTCTCCGATCTTCAATATAACCCGTGAGTGTTAAATTTTCCAAGTCCTCTTTCCTCAGTAAATTATTATTTTCATTATTTCAACTGTCTCCTGGTTTTAAAAATAAATCTACTTTCCTTTTCCATTTTCTTCAAAAATTATTGGTTGTTCTCCTGTTCATGCCAGGGTATTTTCATCATCCTTCTGTAGATTCACATCTCTGCCCCTTGTCGTCCCTCCTTCATCTGTAGAGATTTTCTCCGAGAGCGAGAGAAATGTCTTCGAGGAGTAAGCCTCAGAACTCTTTTATAAATCCGGTAGGGTTATTTGAAGTCAAATAATACCAGCTGTTTCATAGTTTTGAGATGAGGTATTTTATTTATTTTCACTATTCAGACTGTAGTCCTCATCTTTATTGCTATATTCACGACGTTTCGGCCGTTGTACGCTCCAGCCTTCTTCAGGTGATATACGTTGGAATTTCAAACCGAACCCATTATTTAGTTCACGTGGGTTAATTGTTCTAATTTCACTCATATCTCGGTTAATGACATCTTGTAACTCACTCTCCAAATGACCTCTGCTGTGGCCAAGTATTGAACTCACAACACTTTGTGTCATGTTAATTTTTGGATTACTCAACCAGCGCTTTAACCCACTGGGCCATGTGTCCTTGGGGGATGATGTAAATAATCAAGGGTTCCATAGAGCTTAAATATCTTAATTCAAACTTTTGTGAAAAGTAAAGTGAGTGAGTAATAGTCAATAAATTGTAATTTAGTAAATTGTGCCCTCAACATGCTTTATTTGGCATTTCAACCACATTCATAAACGTTCTCAAATTTACAAACCTTGATAAACCTTTTTTTTTTTTTCATATATATATATATATATATATATATATATATATATATATATATATATATATATATAGGATTGGTGTATACGGAATAAATTCCAATAACCAAAACATACTTTAATTTGGCATTAAATGACCTACAGTGGTAGATATGCCATAAAACCCAACCAACCAACCAAAAAATACTATTCTTAAAAGAGGGCTCAATACAGGGTAGAGCAAATATAATTTATTCCAAAATTTATAATAAAAATATTTTTGTAAAATCAGTACAAAAATAGACATTTTGTTTCAACACCATCACTTGATAAGACACCAGAAGTGTTGAAAGAAAATGGCTATTTTTGTACTGATTTAATAAAATATTTATATTATAATTTTCTAATAAATTATATATATATATATATATATATATATATATATATATATATTCTTAAGGATCTGACGAAGACTCTACGGTAAGTCGGGGTTGGTTGAAACGTATTGGTAATAGCATTAACAAACGCAACGGAATATTAAATTATCTGAACTAAGAGAGAAAACTAGTTCGATTTTAAGGACTGAGATGACTTGAGTTTAAAAAGTTATTTTTTGAATCCCAACAGGTTATCGACCGCTCTACGAGAAAATTGCAATTTGGAGAAAAATAACTAAGCAACGCAGACAATTCCCGAAGTGTCTTCTGTTTGAGGGAAACAGTATTTTAACGAAATTAACTTTTGGTTTTGCCTAAAAGAGCCTTTGAACATGCGGAACGTTTTTATGTAATTAGCCGTATTCAAAAATATCACTTTCATTTGTACTGGAACAACTGTGATGACAGCAAACTTTTAAAATATTGTCAAAACGTATTTTTTATTATTGTCTCTAGAGAAAATGCACATCTATTTCGGCATATGTTTTCAACAGATCCTTTTTCTTTTAGAAATGTACAAATACCACTCCATTGTAAGAATAGATGAGTGCAGTGTATTAGGATACTTCTGCAGATAATCGAGATTATTTTTTCCCGGGGCCAGTGTACCAATGATGGGGAGAGGGGATATGCTGATGACATAGGTGTTCATATTTGAAACAAGAATTATTTTGAATAGAGAATCATCATCATCTACCAAGTGTCCCAAGAAATAGAACTCAAAATAAACCTTTCTTTTCCTTCTTTTTATGTGTCGTGTCCTTTCAGGACGTAGGCGATCATGGCTCTCCACTTCTCCCTATTCCTTGTAACTCTCAATATGTTTCGACCCTCTGACACCTCCCCCAGACCACGTTCTGCCATCCACTTGCTTAAGCCCGTCAGGTATGTCATGCGTTGTTTTCTCTCTCTTTCACTCTGTTCGACCCGTGAGTATCAGATTCTCCAGGCCCCGTTTCCTCATTATGTGTCCCAGAAACTTCATCTGCTCCTTCCTGATATTAAGTATAAGCTTCCTCCTTGATTGCAACCTCTCTAAGATCTCATCGTTGCTTACACGCTCGGGCCATGATATCCTAATCATCCTTCTGAAGAACCACATCTCCGTCGCCTTGGGCCTCTTCTTCATCTTTGAGGAGACAGTCCAACAATCGCTATCATAAAGGAGGACAGATGTCACATAACAGTATGTCACATACTCTTTTCTTTGTTACCAAAGAGATCCTCCGGCGTCGCAATACTCTGCTCAGTTTTTGGAATGCGTCCTTGACCATCCGATACGTCAACGGATCTGAATGTCGCAGTGTACTGTCCTCTGTCAAAACACTTCCCAGGTATCTAAACTTCCACACCGGCTTGATTTTAGTGTCCCTGATCTGCAAATTGCATTTCAGTATCATCGTTTTACTAATGACCCTACATTCTGTATTTTTGTAGTTTGTGCTTAGTCCATACTTCTCGCTCTCCTTCGCTAACTTCTGTAGGAGGTTTTTTAATATTTTTTCCGTGTCTGCTATCAGTAAGGTTATTGTTAAGATTGTAGCCGTGTCTGCTATCAGTACTGTGTCATCTGCGTATCTTATATTGTTAAGATTGTGGCCGTGTCTGCTATAAGTACTGTGTCATCTGCGTATCTTATATTGTTAAGATTGTGGCCGTGTCTGCTATCAGTACTGTGTCATCTGCGTATTTCATATTGTTAAGATTGTGGCCGTGTCTGCTATCAGTACTGTGTCATCTGCGTATCTCATATTGTTAAGATTGTGGCCGTGTCTGCTATCAGTACTGTGTCATCTGCGTATCTCATGTTATTGTTAAGATTGTGGCCGTGTCTGCTATCAGTACTGTGTCATCTGCGTATCTTTATATTGTTAAGATTGTGGCCGTGTCTGCTATCAGTACTGTGTCATCTGCGTATCTTATATTGTTAAGATTGTGGCCGTGTCTGCTATCAGTACTGTGTCATCTGCGTATCTTATATTGTTAAGATTGTGGCGTGTCTCCTATCAGTACTGTGTCATCTGCGTATCTCATATTGTTAAGATTGTGGCCGTGTCTGCTATCAGTACTGTGTCATCTGCGTATCTTATATTGTTAAGATTGTGACCGTGTCTGCTATCAGTACTGTGTCATCTGCGTATCTCATATTGTTAAGATTGTGGCCGTTTCTGCTATCAGTACTGTGTCATCTGCTTATCTTTTATTGTTAAGATTGTGGCCGTGTCTGCTATCAGTACTGTGTCATCTGCGTATCTTATATTGTTAAGATTGTGGCCGTGTCTGCTATCAGTACTGTGTCATCTGCGTATCTTATATTGTTAAGATTGTGGCCGTGTCTGCTATCAGTACTGTGTCATCTGCGTATCTTATATTGTTAAGATTGTGGCCGTGTCTGCTATCAGTACTGTGTCATCTGCGTATTTCATATTGTTAAGATTGTGGCCGTGTCTGCTATCAGTACTGTGTCATCTGCGTATCTCATATTGTTAAGATTGTGGCCGTGTCTGCTATCAGTACTGTGTCATCTGCGTATCTCATATTGTTAAGATTGTGGCCGTGTCTGCTATCAGTACTGTGTCATCTGCGTATCTTATATTGTTAAGATTTTGGCCGTGTCTGCTATCAGTACTGTGTCATCTGCGTATCTTATATTGTTAAGATTGTGGCCGTGTCTGCTATCAGTACTGTGTCATCTGCGTATCTTATATTGTTAAGATTGTGGCCGTGTCTGCTATCAGTACTGTGTCATCTGCGTATCTTATATTGTTAAGATTGTGGCGTGTCTCCTATCAGTACTGTGTCATCTGCGTATCTTATATTGTTAAGATTGTGACCGTGTCTGCTATCAGTACTGTGTCATCTGCGTATCTCATATTGTTAAGATTGTGGCCGTTTCTGCTATCAGTACTGTGTCATCTGCTTATCTTTTATTGTTAAGATTGTGGCCGTGTCTGCTATCAGTACTGTGTCATCTGCGTATCTTATATTGTTAAGATTGTGGCCGTGTCTGCTATCAGTACTGTGTCATCTGCTTATTTTATATCACTTAGATGGGTGACCACTTGGGAATAAAAGGTGCTGCAAGCTTGGATGTGCAACATACGACGATATCACGTTGAAACAACAGTTCGCATACTATTATCGAAGTTAAGCAACGTCGAAACTGGTGAGTACTTAGATGGGAGACGACTTGGGAATAACAGGTGCTGCAAACTTAGAAGTGCAGCATACGGCCATATCACGTTGAATTGAATCACCGGTTCACATACTATTATGGAAGTTAAGCAACGTCGAAACTGGTGAGTACTTAGATGGGTGACCACTTGGAAATAGCAGATGCTGCAAGTTTGAATGTGTGGCGTACGACCATAGCACGTTGGATCACCGGTTCACCTATTATCACCGAAGTTAAGCAACGTCGAGCCTGGTCACTACCTAGATGGGTGATGGCTTCGAAAGATTAGGTTCTTTAAGCTTGTGTGTGCGGGTGGTATAAAAGATAAAAACTAGGATTTGTTAATCGGAGAGATGGGTTTCAATTTCCGTTGGGTTCGTTATATTCACTTACGCGCAGATACCCCTGGGAAAAATATGAACGGGTGGAATCATGGCTAGGGATTGTTAAGCGGAGAGCCAACTTCTTGTTACGAGTCGTGTTTTATTCACGTACGCGCAAATACCGTTGTGGAAGGTATGAATTCAATTCTTCTTGCTCCAACTATGGATTACTTAGCCTGGTATCAATAAAACATTATTACCTCCAAAAAAGATTCTTACATTATAAAAGATATTGTCTGGCATTAAATAATCTGCAAAGGATTGATAAGTCCTAAAAATGAATCACTCAGACACTATAAAATGATTTGTTAACTTTAATTCATCATCATCATCATCATCATCAATAATAACAATGCCACGCGTACCGTAAGACATTAGGGTCGTTGGGGGTTTTCACGTGTACTACAGTAATAGCAGCATCGGTGCGTATAGAATTAAAAAGTTTGACAGGAGTCTTTCTTCTTCAGGCTAAAATTCCTAGTCAGTGAAGAAAAAAAATGTACTTGTTTTTTTTTTCAGTTTGTCGAAAATTACCCCAGAATTACGACGACGGAGGAATTTTTTTTTGTTTTTGCCGCAGACGTCTGGTAAATTAAAAAAAAATAGAAATAAAAACTTACACCCATTTCTATTAATGTTTATATGATCTCACTAAAGAAATCTTTTCTAAGATGCTAAATCCTACGGCTATGTCTGTTAATTAATGAAAATACTTAATCACAACTCGTTCAATAATGCGTGTCTGACATTCCCGCATTAGTCAACATATTGACTTGATAACATTAATTTTATGAATTAAACAGACATTGCTTTAAGATGTATAAACTTGTTTTTAATCAAAAACGTTTAATTCCGACAGAAGTTTTGAGGAAATCTTGTACACGAAGAGGAAATCCGACATACATTGCCATTACAAATAAATTACTGAAATCAATGGACCGCAAAACGGAAAACGTAATTATTTCTTTCGTGGAAATAGTTAAATTGCTTAGCCGTAATTGGGGTGAGTTTTTTTGTTTAAGATTCCTGATCACCATTTTCAATTTTCAAAACAAAAGCCTCACAAGAAAAAACAAAACAAGTTTCGTCGACCCTGCTTGGGAAAATGGCGTCTTACAGTTAAAAAGCGTCATTCATACGTAACATTTCGTTTAGGATGTATCAATAGTGAAAAACAAAATAGGAGTCTAAAAAATGAGTTTTCTCTTTTTTTTTTTTGCCGACTGATTCTTCGGCGAGACGAAAGTAAAAAAAAATACTAGTGGTTTGAAAGAAAAGGAAGTGCTCAAAGTAAAATGTCTACTTTCTTGAAGATGAACAAAAAAAGGAGACCGAAACCTAAAGAAAGAGATTGCATTACTGAAACTTATAAGCAAAAGTTTATGAAGTTTGGTAAGGGTTTGGTAATTCAATGAAATAATTTGGGCAATTATTGATGCATGTAATCGTTTCTAAATTAAGTATTCTCTTAATAATCTCTATATAGTAAAGACTTTCCTGCAAGACGATTTGAAGATTTGAATATAGTAGCACAAATCGTGATCGTCCTTGGTAAGACGATAAACTACATCCAGGAGCAAGGCCTCTGATCAGGAGGTTTTGAGGAGCGTGGAACCACATCATAATTGCTGGTGTACCCAGGTTCACCCTGACCCGGGATGGTAGCACTTGTTAGGGTCCCAGCTATGGGAAATAGTTAACTATTACCAGCAATACTTTTTCCGAAAAAAATATAACCAGCAATACAATTTTGAAGGAAAAATATTAACATTAACAGATTTTTTACAAAACAAAATATTACCAGCAATACAAAATGTTGTCGGCATCAACTAACCTATTGAGGATGATATACCATAAAACAAAATAAACCAAAGCAATCTAAACTAAAGAATACATATTCTATTCATATGAATCTACCCTAAAAATGTTGTCGGAATTAAATAACCCATTGAGGTTGATATGCCATAAAACAAAATAAACCAAACCAATCTAAACCAAAGCATACATATTCTATTCATATGAATCTATCCTAAAATATTGTCGGCATTAAATAACCCATTGAGGTCGATATGTCATAAAACAAAATAAACCAAACCAATCTAAAACAAAAAAATACATATTCTATTCATACGAATCTATCCCAAAATATTGTCGACATTAAATAACCCATTGAGGTTGATATGCCATAAAACAAAATAAACCAAACCAATCTAAACCAAAAAATACAGATTCTATTCATACGAATCCATCCTAAAATGTTGTTGGCATTAAATAACCCATTTAGGTGTTGATATGCCGTAAAATAAAACAAACCAAATAAACCAAACCACAAATCGTGAAAGATCGACGTTTTTCTTTCTTTCTTTCTTTCTTTCTTTGTTTCTTTCTTTCTTTCTGCTATTCATTCATTCTTTCTTTTCATCTTTTAAGAGATGGACGAATAAGCTACAAGTCACACTTGGTAATCATTTAAAATACATATTCCAATTCCAGTTGGATCCATTACATTCACTTACGTGCTAATACCCTTGGGAAAGATATGAATCCTCCCATCATCTATGGGTAAATAGCAGGACAGTCCAGCTTCTATAGCTTTGGATGGCAACTCGTCTACCGCCGAAGGAAATGGTAACCTACTGCGGGAAAATCTACCCTGTCAATTATGTATCAAACGATACATGATCGCCTAAAGGTGTATCAAGTATCGCCCGTAACTGATTACTATGTATTTTGAAAAAAGACAAAGCGTAGGTAATGTTACAGAATGTGGGCAGGACATTCTGACAGTGATAGATTGCCTTTGGGTTTCGAATAAACGGCGCAAATTCAACAGAGGATTTCGAGAAATCTGAAGTATCGATATGCCTCCTACACCCAGGTTTGGGACCGGCAAATACAACCCATAGAGGGGCGCTGAGCTAGCGTGCAACAGGCGTTCCTGTCATGTCAGACCTACTACTGCCTTTTAGAATCCAAGCTTCAGGGTTAATAAAACGAATACCAAAAATAAATGATTCTTTTCATTGATACCGTTTTTATTAATAGCGTGGGGATCCGGAGAAGTCACAGAACGCAATAGATATATTTTGGATATCGAGTTTTTTTTTTCACTCTTTTAAATTTTGTCTATTTCAATCTTTCTTCCTTTCTTTCTTCCTTTCTTTCTTACTTTCTTTTCATGTATTCTTTCTGTCTTTCTTTTCATTCTTTCTCTTCATTCTTTCCTTCTTTTTATATACATTCGTTTCTCTTTCTTTTCATTCTTTCTCTCTTTTTATTCTTTCTCACTCTATTTCTTCTTTCTCTCTTTCTTTTCATTCTTTCTTTCTTTTCTTCCTTCTTCTCTTTTTCTTTTCATTCTTTCTCGCTTACTTTTCTTCTTTCTCCCTTTCTTTTCATTCTTTCCGTCTTTTCTTTCTTTCTTGCTTTCTTTTCATTCTTTCCGTCTTTTCTTTCTTTTTTCTTTTTTTTCATTCTTTCTCGCTTTCATTCTTTTCATTCTTTCTCTCTTTCTCTTAATTCTTTCCGTCTTTTCTTTCTTTCTTTTTTTTCATTCTTTCTTTCTTTCTTCTCATTCTTTCTGTCTTTTCTTTCTTTCTTTCTTTTCATTCTTTATTTCTTTCTTTTCATTCTTTCTCTCTTTCTCTTCATTCTTTCCGTCTTTTCTTTCTTTCTTTTCATTCTTTCTTTCCGTCTTTTCATTCTTTCTATCTTTTCTTTCTTTCTTTCTTTCTTTCTTTCTTTTCATTCTTTATTTCTTTCTTTTCATTCTTTCTCTCTTTCTCTTCATTCTTTCCGTCTTTTCTTTCGGTTTTCTTTCTTTTCATTCTTTCTTTCTCTCTTTTCATTCTTTCTCTCTTTCTCTTCATTCTTTCCGTCTTTTCTTTCGGTTTTCTTTCTTTTCATTCTTTCCGTCTTTTCTTTCTTTCTCGCTTTTTTTTTCTTTCTCTCTTTCTTTTCATTCTTACTTCTTTTCATTCTTTCTCTCTTTCTTTCAAACTTATCTGTACTATTCCCTTTCCTTACCCCATTGATTCTTCTTTTCTCACCTCTTTTCTCCTTTCCATCCTTCCATTTTATCTCTTATACCTACATTTTTCCTTATCATTTTATTCATCTGTATTCCTTGTCAGAATCATTCCGCCCTCTCAATTCACTTTTCATTTTTCCGATTCCCTGTTCACTGATTGTTAGTTTTATTTTTTTTTTAAAGTTCTGAAATTGGTGAAATGCAAACGAGCAATTGTTACATTTTTATTTTTTCCTTAGTTCTCATTTCCCATTTCCACAGTTTGACTTATTCATATTTCATTAACTGTCGATTCTTTGGAAGAAACTGCCATGATTTTTTTATTTATTGAAAAGGCATCTTCAAATACCTTTTTCTTGCTCTTACGTCCGAAAGCACCCATTTTTTTTTAAATTTCTTAAATGGAGCGCACATAACAGAATTAAATTCGTACATATACATATACACCATTCCGTCCACATCAGCATCATCATTCCTTTATATGCTCATTAGGTTTCACAGATTTTCTTTCTCCAATGTAGCCTAGTCATTAATTCTGATTCATATTGTAACCTCTCTGGATTCATACACCAGGTTGATCATTTCGTTCTGTTATGCAGGCCTGTACTTTAGTCTCCTTTTTCTATATTTTTAATGATGACATTTTTTACGATGGCATTCTTGTACTTTTTTTTTGCAAAGTGACACAAACAATAATTATATCCACAGTGACAAATATGTAAGGTTTTTCATCGCAACACTTTGATTAATTAATTAATTTGAGTTTTTAAGGCTTATCAACCTTTTTCAGATCATTATGTTAAGATTTACAGACACAAGTGCTACTAATTAACCCATTGCTAGGGGAAGAAGAGGTGGGTTTATAATATCCGAAATGGTATTTGCGAATAAGCGAATATAAAGAACTCGACTTTCCGAACCCCAACTCCTAGCCGGTATCCATTACACACCCCGGACATCCAAGCTTACAACACTAAGCGGTTACACATCTACGTACTGGCCAGTCTTGATGCTGTCTAACTTCAGTGAAACAATATGAAAATTTATTACACTATATATATGAACATGGACGTGTGTGTGTGTTAATTTTTGTAGCGGTCATATCCCGGCAACCGATGGTCCGAAAACCTCTTTTTATACGGAAAAATTACGAACAAGCCTTTGAATTTCACTATAGTACCAGACGGCTCACAGTTGGCGTTTAATCTATGTTACTCACAGAGATAAGAGAGATGCCTAATAGCATGCCAAAGAAGGTTTATTAAATTCTTATTACGTGACTTCTATTCGTCTGTCAAACCTTTTAGCAACCTTTTGACACAGAATACATGCATACATACATACATAGTGACTGCCGCATTTTGATAAGAGCAGCCTCTTAATCATCACCTTAGAAAAGGCAAAGGGAAGCTACGTTACGGCTGAGGGAAAAGAACCGAAACCGAGCTGCCAGGTCAGGACCAGTAACATTGCAGATTCATCTCTGAATTTTATCAAGAATCTCTAAATATATACCAGGAGCACACGGCAACATGTGACAATCATATTCAAAGCAAGGATATATATATATATATATATATATATATATATATATATATATATATGTATATATATATATGTGTGTGTGTGTGTGTGTGTGTGTGTGTGTGTGTGTGTGAAAATATATAGAAAATAGGAAAGAACTCGTCAGGTAAATAATCCAAAGTTATTTAGTATTTTTGTTATTATTAAAAAAAACAGTGCTCGATACAAAAGTAGAGCATAAATATAATTATTTATTTAAAAATATGATTCCATCGCTACATAAGAGTTCTCATGTTTCAAAACAAGAGCCAAAAAATTCAATATAATTATTTGAATTAAATTGAATTAAAGTACCAAGCTCTGTTCCATCTTCAAGCAAATTTTTTTGAATAACTAATTCTTGAAATTTACGCGTTTTTATAAGCATATATATATATATATATATATATATATATATATATATATATATATATATATATATATATGTATAACATTTTTGTAGTGCTCAATACAGAGTAAAATAAAAAAGTTATAACATAAACATGTTATAAAATCACTACAAAAATAGCCATTTATTCTACATTCAACACCATCACTCGATAAGACACCTGAATAGTTGAAACAAAATGGCTATTTTGTAGTGAGGTTATAACATGTTTATTTTATCATTTTCAATAAATTATATATATATATATATATATATATATATATATATATATATATATATATATATATATATATAGTTATTCGTAAGAAATTAACTAAACCAGGAAACAGTAGCAGTAAGCAGTGCTCAATACACGTGTAAATAAAATAAAATAAAATGAAAATTTAAAATGCAGAGCTTTTAAATTTAAAAAAAGATCAGCCGATTACGTTGCCTTGATTTCATCCTTGCAGCATCTTTAGGCGATTCGGACGACTAAATAATTTCCTAACGCTTTATCATTTAAAAGTAAATTAACCCAAAACGCTGATGAAAGTATGTACATTTAATATAACCCCTTCCGATACAATTTCACTACCCTTGTTTTTCTCCTCCCCTTCTATTACACTTTGCGATGTGCATTTATTTATTTTAAATAATAAAGCATATGAAATTTTTTTTGTCCGAATCGCTCGAAGATACCAAAAGGTTGAAACCAATCAGTTGATCTCTTAATTTTTAAATATATATAAATGAACATTGAAGTCAATACTTAGATGAGGCAGTCTGTTTCATGCTAGACGCAATCGTCAGGCCAATATTTAACAGCAAAGCTTCGTCCGGCTTCCTCACAGCCAAAGCAGAGAGTTCGACTTAATGCAATCGTCAGGCCGATATTTAATAATCCCTCCACGAGGAATGTATGTGGCACAAGGCCGAGTTTAACGTGGGTTTCTCCGAGCCCGTAGCCTCGGCCAAAAAATAATCTCTTAGAATCTGGATAAGCGGGTTCAGGATCTGTCTACCTCCCAGGACGAAACTTTGCCCTTTGGGTTCCTCTCTGCCAAAGCAGAGAGTTCGACAGAAGTCGCACACAGAGACTGCGTGCCGACTGCCTCAATGCAATCGTCAGGCCAAGAGTGCTGTTATGCTTCTCGGCTATTTATATATACGGGTCAGTGGTGCATTGTGGGTAGTCTGTTTTGGCGGTTATTTTGCAGGAAGTCGTTTATTTGTTTATTTATTTACTTGGGTTAGGAAAAATATCAATTTATGGAACAGAATGGGGTGTGCGGGTGGTGTAATGGATAGCAACTAGGGATGAGAAAGTGTCTAAAAATGTTCCTTCTTCTGCTTCTTCTTCCTCTGTATGCTGTAGGCCATGATCATGGCTCTCCGCAACTTCCTCTCATCTGTAAGCTTATGAAATATTTCTCCTCTTACTACCCCCCCGTAGCCGCTTTATCTAGGTTACTCACTGAAGAGGCAAATGGTAATGATAATATTATCTCATTCCTTATAATGAAACGTTGGGCATTCATTGACCGATCATTTAGGCATCCTGGGTATGACGATTAACTATATCCTGCAGCAAATTTCTGATCGGGAAATTCGAAGGTTTTGAGAAGAGTGGAACAATTGCTGTTGTTACCATTTTTCACCCTGACGCGGAGTGGTTCCTCAAGCCTAGAGGATACCACGCACATATACGTCGTATGTCGTAATCAGAGTCAAAACGGTTATATAGTCTTACTGTTCTGCTAAAATTATAGTCCCTGCACTACTTTTAATTATTTATTATAAAAAAGGCAGAGTAATGGATAGTGGCTCGGATTGAGGAATCGGAGAGCCGAGTTCGAATTCCAGTCGAATCCATTACATTCACATACATACTAATACCCTTGGGAAAAGTATGAATCCTCTTCTTCTCTTCCCAGCTATGGGTAAATAGCAGGGCAGACCGGATTCTATAGCCTTGGATGGCAACTCACAGAAAGAAATATGAACCTACTGCGGGAAAAAAAACCCTGCATCGTCAGTCATGTATCGTAGGACACATGATTGCCAAAGCGTGTATCACGCATAGCACATAACTGATTGACTTGACTATCCACAAAAAATGATTAATGTCTGAAGCCCCAAATAGACCATCATCATTACTGAGGTGGCATTTCTAAGAATAAAGTGTGAATGTAGAAATTTTTAAATGAGAAAAACAATTTACAATCATATTGTATCAGTCCCTAGATAAAGGCCTGTCTGTTCTCAGAACTAAGCGATCGCCATATTAAATTGTATGAAACGAAAATGTGCGATTTAATTTTTATGGAGTTTGTTTTAGCTAAAACGCTACCTCAAGTTTGATAAATAGAGTGTTGTTTGATAAAAGTGACTCACCTGATTTTTTTACTTAAAAAAATATTTCGCCTATTGTTTTGGAGGTTAAACTAATTTTTAATCTTACTAATATAACCACCTAGGTATTCTATTGATAATTATAATTTTGGATATAAATGAGATTTAGGGAAAAACCCTATGCGATAAAAAGTGACTCGCTTATTTCCTGCAACTAGTAATCAATAGAAACATAACCGAACAGCTTTAAATAAAGAATAATAGAGGTATAATTTATTTATAATAGGTAATATAGTTCGAAATATTTAATAATCTATGGGTCCTCCTTTATTTTGAATAACCTTTTCAACCTTTTTTAGCATTGACTTGATTAGGTTCTGGCAAATCTCATCTCCAAGCATTGAATTCCATTCGGATATGAAATTCACAATCAAATCCTCTTTGTTGCTCAACTGCTTTCTCGAGAGCCTGTACTTTATAATGCTCCATAAGATTTCTATGGGGTTGTGGTCAGGAGATTGGGGCGGCCATGTCAGAAAACTCACATGCTTCTCATCAAAGTATTCCTTCATCAATTTTGATATGTGACAGGGAGCATTATCCAGCATAAAAATGAGCTTGGTGGGGTCGATTTGCACCCTTTCAGCAGAAGGGAGCAGACAAGACTCTAAAATTCTCTTGTACTGCTCGCTCCTGAGGGTTTTTTCAATAGGTTTTAAGAAACCAGTTCTATGAAAAGAAAAACATCCCCAGAACATTATACTGAACGGATGTGACAGTACTTACTGCTAAATTCAAAAGAGCTTTCAAAGCTTCTTCTTCGGATTTTAGATCGTTTATCCTTTGAATTTAGCTCAACTTTCGTTTCATCGGAGAAGAGAAC